GCGTCAGCAGTCAATTTGCCCCGCTCCGGGTGTCGTTGCTGGGCTGGCAGCGCCGAAAGAAATCCTCATGCGCCACACTTGTCAAAAAGCGTCATCCACAGCCGCCTTGTCACGGTGAATGGGTTAAGCACAAACCCAAACACCTCACGGTCCGCGTCTTCTGCCTCTTGCGTGGTGAGCTGCCAAAACCCCTGGCCGCCAGGCCTCTTGCAGTAATGTTGGGCGAGCCGGCTGACATATTGCATGCGTACGCAATCCGTCGGGTCGCTTCTGCAATGTCTAAGTCCCACTCTTCATGGCGCAGCCCGGTCTGCTTACCCTACACACGCGGACTCAGAGAGAACCCGCTTCCGCCCACACTTCGTTTTTGCACTGTTGCTGGATCACTTGTAGGGTACTCAACGCTGGAAGCGTCTCATTGTGCAACGCGACTCCTGGAAAAGTATTCGGCTTTTGGGTTGTCACAGTACCAAGCAGCGCAAGTGCAAGGTGCACTGGTGGACACCAGCTTGGCCACACCCCGCAAAGTTTTCTTGGTCATGGGTGGGTGATGTCAGCGGAGTCGGAAAATTTGGACAGCAACCGCAGTACCCAGCCCTCAAACGCATTGCTATCCACAGACGCGTCCACAAAGACTTGTTCACCGTCCTACCCCAACACAACCCCCTTGGTCTGCACCTTTTCACGCAGGCCTGCGTCCTCCAAGGTCTGCTTCCAGGCAGCACTGGACATGATAGGCGAACTGACAATGCTGGAGCGCCACAACGTTCACGCTTCGTGCGTGTTGCACACAAGAGGCTGACAAATTGCTGAAGCCACGCACATGAGTTTGTGTCATTGCTTCCTTGCTAAACCACCCGCAAGAAACTGAAACACAGACGCGGCTCAACAGTCAAAGCATCAAGAGGCTGCTCTATCTAGGATGGATATTCTGAATTCTGCACACTCTGATGAGATGTTTTCGGTCCTTCTGCTGAGCATTGAAGACTTCGGCGATTCCTTCCGCGACAATCTAAACATCCGAGACTTGTGGATGAGAAATCAACTATTGCTTTCTGAGCCTTTGCATGACTGCTGCAGGTACGCATCAAGGCGTCCCTTGATCGATGCGTCCAGTCATACTCGACAGCTTTGTTGGCGTGGCTACGAGGAGACCGCACGCCCCCTGCAAGGCAAAGTGGCTTTGGGTTGATCAAGAAGTCCACACATACGCCCCCAAAGGGGCGAAGTCCCAACAGAAAAAAGGAGCAAAAGAAACCGAAACCAAGCACAGAGGCCTCAGGTTGGGCTCCGCGGGCAAAACCCCAATCAGGAAACAAGAAAACAGGGGACACGGCAAACAACCCGGGCGCAAAACGTTAAACGTCCTAAATCTCGTAGACGAACAACACTGCGAAGAACAAGAACAAGGGGAGAAAGAGGCCAACACTAAACGGGCGAAAAGGAGGAACACGAAGTAGGGCGGAGAAGGAAGCGAAAGAGAAGAAAGGAAGAAAGAAACAAAGAAAAAAAGAAAGAAAGAAGGAAAGAAAGAAGGAAACAAAGAAAGCAAGCTTCGGAAAGCAAGAAAGAAAGAAAGACGGAAAGAAATAGGGAAACAATGAAAGCAAGCAAGAAATAAATATATACATAAAGAAAGAAGCAAACAAAGAAAGCAAGCAGGAAAGCAAGAAAGCAAGAAAGAAAGAAAGCAAGAAGGACACAAAGAAAGAAAGAAAGAAAGCAAGAAAGAAAGAAGAGCGAAAGAGCGGAAAAGGAAGGAAAGTCTGCGGCTTTAGAGCCAAAACCGCCCAGGAGGAAGAGAGCGAGAGAAAGAGCAAGAAAGGCAAGAGAAGAGGAGGGATAGTGTGCGTATTTCGGGCGACGCATGACGCCCATACAAGCAAAGGGAAGGAGACCGCAACTCGAAGAAGAGAACGTCAAAGCCCGCAAAGGCGCCAAGAGGAAGTGCACGTGGAAGCAACCGAAGAGGAAGAAGGCATCAAGCCAAACCGCATGAGGGGAACGAGAAGCTCGAGCAGGAAGGCAGACAGAAAGAGAACGACGAGGAGAAAGGCAAACAACTCGAGGACAATCAGGCGATCCCTAAACGGGCGAAGAAAAAGAAGACCAACACGCGGTTCGCGACTCATTCGCGACAGGCAGGAGAACGAGACCGGGAGGAAGGAGAAGCCATCCAGACACGAGCGAAGATACCCAGACGCCCGGATGACGGGGAAGACGGACAACCAAGCGCAACACAACAACAACATACAATTGGTAAGTAGCCTTGGCGGAGAAAGGTTTATAGCTAAGAATCTCAGCGAGTGAAGGATCCATAGTTACTTGCAAACGTGGTGGTGGTATTTGACGGCAAAGCCGTCCCAGGGCCACGCAATGGGTGGACTCGCGCTAAACCCCTAAGAGGGAGGAATCTGAAGTTCGAGTGATGCCTTCCCTCCAGATTCGAAAACGTTACAAGGTCCAACGTGAAGCGCACACAGCAAGAGAAGCACCGGGCCAAAATAGACCGATTCAAGGCGTCCCTTGATGCATCCAGTACTCAATCGCTTCGTTGGCGTGGCTACGAAAAGACCGCCGCGCCCTCTGCAAGGAAAAGTGTTTCCTGGGTTGACCAGGAACTCCACACATACGCCCCCGAAGGGGTGAAGTCCCAACAGAAAAAAAAGGAGCGAAACAAACCAAAACCAAGTAGAGAGGCCTCAGGTTGGGCTCCGCGGCCAAAACCCCAATCGGGAAACAAGAAAACAGGTGGACCAGGTTTAGTGTCTCCGACAACTCCAAAAACTCGCAGAGGAACAACACTGCGAAGCACAAAAACGAGAGGAGAAAGAGGCCAACACTAAAAGGGCAAAAAGGAGGAACACCAAGTAGACATGAGAAGGAAGCGAAAGAGAAGAAAGGAAGAAAGAAAGAAAGAAAGAAAGAAAGAAAAACAGAAAGAAAGACAGAGAGAGAGAGAGAAAAACAGAAAGAAAGACAGAGAGAGAGAGAGAGAGACAGAAAGAAAGAAAGAAAGAAAGAAAAAGAAAGAGAGAAAGAGAGACATAAATAAAGAAGAGGGACAGAGCAGAAAAGGCACAGAGCAAAAAAAGAAGGAAAGAGAGAAAGTATGAAGTCTGCGGTTTTACAGCCAAAGCCGCTCAGGAGGAAGAGAGCAAGAGAAAGAGCAAGAAAGATTAGACAAGAGGAGGGATAGTGTGCAAAGTTTCAGCGGCGAAAGCTCGCGTTCTAAAGGACTGGATAACCCCACACGCCTAGATTTTGGAAAGGAGAGCGTAAGTTGAGCCAGGGAGAAGAGCGAGTGCCAATATAGGTGTAAGTGACAGTGTGAGCCGGCGTGGGTCAGAGTGAGTCAGCAAGTTGGTGATCAGTGAGCGAGCGTGAGTGTGACTGCGAGTGTGAGTGTGGTTGTGGGGGTGTGAGTGTGAGCGTGATCGTGAGGGCCAGCCTGAGTTGTGAGTGTGAGATGAGAGTGAGTGAGTGACTGAGCAAGTGGCACTCATTCATGCTGCGCACAGTTGCCTGACGCAGACCGGGTCACCATCTGCAGGGCCGCGCCTGTGGGCCCACTGCATCTCACTCTTGGCTGGTGGGTCAAACTGGTTGCATAGGCCAAGGCAAACAAGCGTGACCCTTCGCAGCTTCCCACTTTAGGCCCTAAAGCGCAAATACGTCGAGCGTCCCTTGCCTTAAAAGAATCACGGAAACAAAGTCCATGCGCGTCGGGTTTTGGATTCTATTGTGTAGGGTTCTGGGTTTTAACCTTTGGCCTGGAAATTTCAAGTTTCGGGGTTTAAGGATTTGCGTTTAAGGAGAGGGGGGGGGACTAGATCCAAATCAGCCTATCCCTACATATCACGTCGCGTCGTTCCTCTCGCGTGTGTTTCCCAAATCAGCAACGGTCTGCCGGCATTTTTGTGACAGCTAGTCTGTACAGCCCCTATGTTTGAGTGAGTGAGTGAGTGAGTGACTGAGTGACTGAGTGACTGAGTGACTGAGTGACTGAGTGACTGAGTGACTGAGTCACTGAGTCACTGAGTCACTGAGTCACTGAGTCACTGAGTGACTGAGTGACTGAGTGAGGGAGGGAGGGAGGGAGCGAGTGAGTGAGTGAGTGCGTGAGTGAGTGAGTTGAGTGAGTGAGTGAGCGAATGAGGGAGGGAAGGAGGGAGCGAGTGAGTGAGTGCGTGAGTGAGTGAGTTGAGTGAGTGAGTGAGCGAATGAGGGAGGGAGGGACGGAGGGACGGAGGGATGCAGGGAGAGCGAGCGGTCCCTGCCGCGAACACAGGCAGCCGCATATCCAAAGTGCGTGTGTCCCCTGCCACGATAACAAGGGCCCTCAGCCGGCGCACGCAACAACATCTGCCCCTGCAACGAAACTCAGCAGTGCATAGCCAGAGTGCTGGGCTTCAATCGGCGCTCACTTGTCCACCAACGTGCCACGACACCCAGCACTTACATGTCCAAAGCGCTCTGCCACGAATCTGCAGACTTGGTGTTGACATGCCCCGTGGATCCCACCGTGACTTGATTGAATTTCTGTACCAAGGGCGCTGCCTTTGTGGTAAGTTGGTCACAAGGACGGCCTACTTTGTGTCAGTGTTACTGTTTTACAATGGAACCCTTCGGCTCTTAGTTCTTGACTTCCCCAGACGCTCCCCAGCTAGACGCTGATCCCCCAAATAAGGTCCTCACTTGGGCTGAGTCTCTGGCGGTCAGCACATTCTGTGACCTTCCTTGTTGTGTTGTTGGCTAGGCCCCCCCAAAAAATCGGTCACTTGTACTCGTTTTCGAGAAATGAATGCGTTGGTTTGGTTCACCGTGATTTTCATTCAGGGTGTGCTGTCCCTGGCTTGCTCTTGGGCAACCCCGGTGGTCCCGGCACCCCAGCGATCGCTTTGGACATGTCGCACATGTGACCCTGTGCTTGATCTGCTTCTTACAAGATTTTCTGCACCCTCGCCACCCTAGATACAATTCCCCGATCATTCGGCCAGGCCAACTACAGCATTATGTTCTCGCCAGCGGCTACCTTCCCCAGCAGCATCAAAATCAGCGTAAATTCAGATTCGTGCTCGTGCGGCAAGCTCTATGTCGTCGCACTCTTTGTTTTTTGTTGTTCTTTGCTCCCTTTTTCTACAAGTTTTTGGAGGGGGGGTGGCCTGTGATATTGCAACAAAGAAAGCAGTGATCCCCCCATCCAGAAGCTGGATTTGTTTGCCAAAAAAAGTGTTACCAATTTACCATTCTTTTGTATCCGACGATTTCGAGGCATGCCAGGCCGTACGACTACTGCATGCCCTGGGGCGAGATCCCGGGCGCAGTCATCTCCATCCCCACATTGGACCCTGACTTGCCCCTGCGAATGGAGGTGTTTTTGACAGATTTCGAGGCGCCAAGCTCCCGTATCTCGCGAAATACGAGCCAGGATAAGTGGACAATTCTGGATATCGGGTTGGCAGTAAAACAGAAGTTCAAACTTTTTACATCAAGCCACGCACGAGGTGCGCCCAGCAATCTATCTCATTTTGGACTGGATGGACAAAATCCGCTTTGCGCCTGTTGGTAGGTGGTCTACCCCAGCATTCGTAGGATTCCACCCCAACATGTGCGCGGAGTTTGTTCATCTCCAGTATTTTCATTTTTATCGAATATTTGATATTATGGTTTGACAGTGTTTTGCTTGAACCATGTTCCCGCTTGTCATGTGTAAGATATAAAGGTTCCCGTTTAGGAAGGCCTGAGCCTTGAAGCCCCAAGAGCGCGTATGCCAGGCATGGGACCAAATGTGATCCGTGCCAGTTGTGCTTTCCAGCAGGTCGGCGTCCCACTTCCTTGCCAGCACAGCCTTTCACAGACCAACTCAACATATTCGACGTGCCTTGATCGATTGTTTGTTGAGCTTGTATTTCCTGTAGTGTGTGTCCACGTGATTTTCCTTGTTGCAGCTGTTTTCAATCAGCTACGTGTCAAGCCATGTTTGTTTTTCCCCGAGGTTTTGCTTCAAGGAGGAGTTGCCGAGATCGCGCGACTCTGCCAAATTGTTGGACGCCTGCCAGGCAGGGTTGCCACCAAATCGTGTTAGAGACGCGCCGCAACCAGGTTCGCACCTACTTGGTGTCAGGAGGGCCATAGGAAGACCTATGTAGGGCGCAAAGTTGGGTTTTGGGAGCTGCGCTGGTTGAGCAGAGCCCGGAATCCTTATAGCAATTTGACTTGGATCGGTTTCATTAGCAGGTTCAACAAGGATCATAGCTAAGGCTATTAAGAAAACAAACAAACAGTTTATAACCATGATAGGAACAAAAAGCAGCGGGTTTTGGGTGCTGCTCAATTGGTGTTTAAGCAACTGGGAATGTGTTTAAACGCGTTCACCGGGCAACAGCCCCACGCTGCCAGGTGAATAATGATCCGCACGCCTGCCAAGTACTGTGCCTGGAGATTTGCCAGCGCAAGCCGCAGCTTAGACCGAGTCTTGATGGGGGTCCATCATGCGGGCATGTGTTTTGAGTTGGAAATGCGAGGGGCCAAATGGTTACTAATAGTTCACTTGTTTAATCATGTTTCAGCTTGGTTTCTAAGTAAGCCTGCAATCCTTTTCTAATCATTCTGTTTTTGCAAAAGCGAGTTGTGGGGTCGTTTGAGAAGAAGCCAAAAGGAACCCACCGATTGAGGGTTCCCCTTTAAAACTTGAATGCTTCATGATAGGACTGAAACGATTTTACAGTGCATCCTACTTTGGATTGAATGACCTCCATTAAATTAAACAGGCAGGCGTTGCCGACATTGCCCAGTGGAAGTTTTGTCCTGCACAGGTCGGCGAACAGTAAAAAGTACCGCTAATCGGACAACCCTTATTTGGTGGAGAATGGGCGTCCCAGGTACTTGTGGGAAACAGCTTCCTATTGTCCGAAACCCAGCTAGAACATTTGCACCAACCTATCCTCAGGAAGGCTATCAGACGCTTTGCTTTCTGAGTTTCGTTTTTTTCCGGGCAGGGTTTCGATTTTTGTGCACGGGACAGGCAGTGCTTGGCAGCGTTTCCTGCAACGGCGGGATGCTATTTCGCGGAGAAGCTTGGTACCACAGAATGCAGTGGAGCTGATCACCAGCACAGGCATTGGCTGAATCGAACCGAGCCTCTACTCAAAGCGAATCACCATTTTGGCCTTTTGCTTGGCCCCTTTTTAGCCACCGCAGGTCCTTTAGGCAAGTGAGGTATCTGGCGAGCTCTGCCAAGTCGCTAGTAGTCTCAATTGCATCCAGGCCGGACCTGCGCAAAAAGCGCCACGAAACAACCCAAGCAGCTGTTGTATTAACCCAGGACGAGCTTTTTCTTGTTCAGCATTCTCGCTTGGTCACACAGGTGCCGCTCAGCGAAGGTGTGGTTTTGCATTCTGGGCCTTTCAACAATTTGGCAATGATCCCGTAGTGCCAACTAAGCTGCTACCAGGGGTTCATCCCCCTCTCGCTTCCGGCACGGAGAGGGCCGAGGGACGGAGGCACTCGGGCCCATTTGCTCTCGAGCTATCTCAGCGCCTAGGCCGTTGGAGGCCTTTGCCCAAAGCCACGAATTGAACTTTGGCTTCTTGATCGGCCTCAAGGGTTTACTATTTGCTTTTTGTCTGGGGTCTAACACATGACTAAACGTGGCCGTTGAACCCCAGTCGAATTGACCAGGCCGTTTTGGCGGAAAATTGGGAAACTGCTACGTGTCCGAAGGAAGGCAACGTCCGCGGATCTTTTTCGATTTGCTTGTCACGCGTTGCACTGAGCAGGTGTTGCATGCACATTTCCGCGGGTTGGAAAACGAGGCTTCACTTGGCGTGGCGTCCAACTGCGGATTGATCAGGATCAGCGTTCCCCATTTCGAACCCAGTTTGCTTGGGCGCCGGTTTGTTTCAAAATGGGTCGGTGGTTTCCGCTTGGTTTCCTTAAAACCTACCCTGAGAAGGGTACCAACTCCAACTCACAACAAGACGATCTCCCCGTTTGCCAGGCCTCGCAAACGAATCGCTGGTCCTTGGTCTTTGAGCTTGTGCCGATCTGGCTGGATCGAAAAGCTGACTTGACGCTTGGTCAAAGTTTTCGCCCCATGGCAAGTCAATTAGTTTGGCAGGGTATTTGCCCAATAGGGTGCTTGGACCTCAATTTGCTTAAGAATATATGTTGATTTGCCCCTCCCGCGTCCGACTTCGGAAGGCAAGCAGTGCAAACACGCGCCGAAGCAATCCGGGTTCAGCCAGCGTATCCTCAGGAAGCTCTTCTTATACTTGTCCCAGGGCGACGAGGCTCTTGCAAGCGTATCAGAGACCTTGCATTTGAGGCGCGGCTGTTGCGTTCGCAGGTCTAGGGCCCAGCTTAAGCCAACGAGCCAGCAAAACCAAGCCAGACCTTGCATTTGGATATCGTTGTGTCTTCTTTTGCAGGCGCCCTTTTTGTGGGCGTAAATGGAAACCAAAATGAAACACCATTTGGGGGCGGCCCCTTTAAGCAAGGCTCGCCCAAAAATGAAGGGCGACGAAGGGGAAGCAACTTGGTCTTTTTTGCCCCGTGAATGCTCCGCGATGTTTCGTGGTGCACCTCGGAAAAGTTTGCTCAAAGTCTTGAGAAAACAGCCCGCGAAACCTCCGCGATGCGGGTTTGAGTTGGGGGCTTTGGGATTTGAATCGGAGCTCCTTTTGTTGCTGCATGTGGGTTTGGCTATGCTCGGTGATTACCAGCCTGTGCCTGTGAGTTCGTTGTTTGCGCAGGGACCCTCCACTACGCAAAATACTGGCGTAACGGGAAGTCGCGAGTGTCCTTTTACAAGACTTGGCCGACAGTTCGTTCAGGATTCTAAGGCCGCAGACATGCGGCTTCCCTGGTGCCAAAGAATATCAGATTGTGACAATGTAGAAAGGCAGGGTCATATTTTTTACCAACGCCTTTTCACACTTCCTGCTCGTTTCGCATGCTGGTCAGGCTTGATGGTGTGAAGTTCGCAGCCTCTCACCCTTCTGCCCAACCTCTGTTATGGCAGCATTCGCATCTTCTGCCACGCTCAAAGTAAAGCATGAAAACATTATTTTCAATACACTTTGAGGGAAGCCCACCTTGGTCGTTTTTTGGGGTGTCGGGGTGTCAGGGATGGGCTGGACGCCCCGGCGCCCTTGGACGTGCTGGTAGCAGTGAGGGCTTGGAACGGCACTGGGGAGGAGCCGGTTGAGTCCCACGTAGCGCTGCAGGCAGATGGCTCCGTGGAGGCCAGAAACCAAAAGGAAACCCGACGCCAATTGGTCCAAATTCCAAAGGTGTCCTTTCTAAATTTCTACGTCAGTTTGGCTAGTGTACCCAGTCCTTCCGGCGAGGATTCGATGGCGAGGATTCTTGCGAATCAGCGCTGATTTGAGTTGACGAGGATGCGTCTTAAAAACACGTCACGAGGATTCGGGTTGACGTGGATGCGTGTCAACCAAGGTGGGTCATGTGCACAGGTTCGCAGTGTATTCGCTGAGTTTTGTTTTATGGCAGACTTTCAGCTGGAAAGCAGAGTTTGTTCAGACTATAAGTTGTGCGACATATTTTGATAGCATAAAATTCAGGATGCTTCGGGCTCCAACAGCATAGGCAAAAAGCAGGATGCTGCTGGCTCCGAAGACTGCGCGTTCGCAAGGAGTAAAAGGTATTTGTTCTCGAGGCCCAGGAGCTTCGCTGGCCCTGCGTTGTCCAGCTGGATTTCGGTTTAAGCTGCAGCTGTGCCCCCACTGGGCATGTCAGACCAGAACAATGTCTATGTTCTGTTGTGTTGTTCACATGAGGGGTTCAACGTCAAGTGACGCAACTTCAGCACAGAATGCTGCGACGCTTTCGTGTCAAATTTCAGACTGGCCGATGTAACTTCGGGGCAGACTGTCCGTACAAAGCAACAAGTTTGTAAACTCTACAATCGATGCGATCGGGGGAGTGAGCGTAAATGGCAGAATCCGCCCAACTTGCAGAAGGCCGCTGCCGCCCAAGCTTCCGACAAGACCGCTGGTGGAGGCACGCCAAAGCAGTCGCCAAGAGGGGAGAAGAAAGACAAGAAACGCAGCAGGATTTCCGCGCGAAGTTTGAAGGGGTCTCAATCCCTTAAGCGGAGGCCGAGGATGGCACAGTCGAGCCGCACACCCTCGAAGATACACCTGCCGTGCTTTCCGTGGGAGTGAGACTCCTAAAGAATGATTGCGAATTCGTTATGAGAGCCCGCAGTAGAGCAGATGTCAAACGGCCTGATGTTCTGTTCTTTCCCACAGAACTTCAATGTGCTCCACCTGCTGTTTCTCATCATATCTTCAAGGTTGCAGTACTGACTTCAGCCCCGATCAGTTGAAGACAAGACGTTGGTCATTGATGAAGAACTTTAATAACGAAACTAGGGGCCCGAGTGTTGAGCAACGATGACTTCTTGATTGATGAGCGCCCGCTGGAAGGTGAGGTGAACAGGCGGGCTCCTGTACTAAGACTTGATGATTCCGAACCACCTCGCGAGGAAAACCCTGAAATCATTGCTTTCGATTTTGTGTCGAAGCCAGCCGCCAAGAATGCTCCTCGACAACGCGGCGAGACTTCACTCAAGATCACTCAAGGACGACAACACGTCATGCGTCACACCCCCAAGAACCCGTTCTGCGAGACTTGCATCCGAGCTAAGATGCACAGCATCCTTCGTGCCAGAACGGGGGATCAACACATCGATGCAAGAAAGTTTGGCGGTCGCTTCACGGCGGACCATCTCATTACTTCCAATGATCGGGAAGTCGGCATAGAAAAATCACGCGTTGCCCTTGTTATCCGAGATGTTGCAACTGAGTTTCCCGAACTTGCAATGGGGCCATTGACCAAATGGAATGGAACATGCTCAGAGTGCAATTTACGTCTCCAAGACCAATGCCATTGTTCAGTCAAATGTCAGATCCTCATTGAGGGAATAAGGTCCGACCTTGAGCAGGCCAGGCTCCACGACGTATCTGGCCATATGCCGCCACATGATTGCGTGGCACACAATATCACCGATCACCCATTCTATCATTCCGCGTAGAAGGTTCACTTCGGTGAAGATTTTCCTGGTCCAAATTTGCCATTTGGATGTCAGACAACTTATTGGAGCATCGAAGTTGGCCGATGAGCCACTCAAGCTTGAACCCACTGACACTGGCAGGGATCTTTCTGGCGTATCCAATCATCCGCACTTTCTTTGGCGCCGTGAGATCAAACCGACCGCTGCGTTGATTTCCCGCCTGTGAACTTCATCTCATGCACAGGAACAGCGTCTTGAATATGCTCCAGAAACTCCAAATCCTGCGGATCTGGATGCACCCATTTGCAGGAACAAGACAAGCCGGGATGCGACGAGAGCATGCACTGACCAAGAGTTTGCTACGAACCGCAAAAAGCTAACTGAAGAGACCGCTGGAAAGGTCAAAGCTAGGAGGTGCTCTAGCAGTCGCAAACCAGATCGCATTCCTCCATTTATATAGAAATCTGTGTCAATCAAACAGAGAAAACATGCCTCGTCAAGCGAGCCCGTACAAGTTTTCGTGAGGAACGTGTCCGAGGACCCAGCCGATTCTTCCTCAAAGGCAGCATCTTCAAGGAAGCCAGCAACTTCGGCGGCGCATGATAATGGAGTGCAAGATTAATTTTCACACATTCCTATGATGCCCACGGTTCCTTGCGTCGGGAACATCAACCGCAATGAAAAAATACAGGTAAATCGAAGAACATGCTTCCAAGGTTTGGTCAACACTGGTGCCAGATCTTGCAGGCCCATTGGCCACCCATGATTCATCCTATGGTTGCTAGGCCTGTCGCTCGCAAAGAAATTGAGAGCGACCCGGATGAACAGACATCTGCCCATGTCGAGCGGAAGACATTAGGGGACAAGAAATCGTGGGACTACAGCGCTGTATGCGAATGGTCGCAAAGAGTCAAAGAAGCCAAGAGAAGGGGTGAAAAGGTTCATGTTGGTAAGATCATTGAAATTTGTGGAGAAACGGAGCAAAATTCAGAAGGGAAAGCCTCTTCGCACGTTCAAAGGCAGAACCGTGTTTGAGATTCCGAAATGGGGTCAGCTCGGCCACAGCAATTGACGCCTATGGTGCAATGTCTGGGATTTGTACGCAGCAGGCGGCAAGTCGTAGTCAAAATAGATTCGACTTCCGAAGTGCCGCGGCCAAGCTGCACAAAGACCCTTCGACGGACATCCTGACTCGGGGGGGCAGGGGGGGGTGAAGCATTGTGAGAGCGTCCTTCTGTCATGGTTTCCGTCTTAAACTCGACTACTTCTTGCAGATATGTTGGTGATTTCAAGGTGTCAGGTCCCGTCGAAAACATATCCAACAATAACCTTGATTTCATCAAAATTTGATATGAACCGTCCTACATCAGTCGTCAGATATCTCGGATGCGAACACGTTGTGACGGAGAAATCCGACTTTCCCCTGTGCATCATCGTCTTGCACATGTGCTTGATCGCAACATTGCAGATCCATCCGGGCGCTCAGCGAACTCAGGCGGAGCACGCTCAGTGCAACGCACCGTGCGAGCCTCCGTGGCAACACCGCTAGGTGTGCGACGAAGTTTTCGGCGAGTTAAACCACCGTACCATGCTCTGGAAAGCGCTCCAAATATTATATTTGGAGCGCTTTCCAGAGCATGGTATGGTGGTTTGCCGGTCAGAGCAACGTCGCCGAAAACTTCGTCGCACACCTAGCGGGGTTGCCACGGAGGCTCGGCGCGGTGCGTTACAGTGTGTTCCGCCCCTGAACAACGAGTGTTCGACTGCAATCTGTTCCTTCTCTATGTGTGGGTGCTGCGCATTTCTGTCATGAAGCCGTTGGGAATGCCCGCCTTGCGGCAGCGGCAGTAATTACAACAAATGCGGAACAAGACTTAAGCCAGCAAAAATGGTGCATGACGCGCAGTTCTTCCTGCTTCTGGGTCGTCATCCAGTCAGGGGTCTTAGAAGAAAACCCCATTTGCTCGCATGCTCCATGAGGGACTGTGCCCAAGGTTGCATTACCAGATTGCACAATGAGAAGCTGAGTCAGTTCTGTCTTTCAAAAAAAAGGTGGCATAATAACCTCAAGAAATCGAACCCTCATGAGCAGGCAAGGCCTGTTTCTTCAATGCGGGGGCTGGTGAGGTCGATCTCAACATCGAAGCGACGGAGATCAGAGAGACTGGCATTGGGAATGAAAAGATTGGAGGCGAAAGTGTTATGCTCCCCACCAACGGCACCATCAGGCCACAATCGGTATTCTTGAAAGTAGTAGCTCACCAGCATCCCGACACACGGCCAACACGCAACGTGTCAACCCTGCTGGGTTAGCTGAACAACGCAGACGAAGCGCAACAGCCACTGCGTGTTTTTTTCATACTTTTCCCGCCAAGGGAAGGAACAGTTTATCGACAGGACCGAGTCTCGTAGTTCCCCAGCGGGTGGCTATGTAGTTGTGCAATTGCACTCCTTTGTTGCGCAGTTGTGAAGCTGTCCTGGTTTTAATGAAAGAAAAGCAGCAGGCAAGCTTTTCTGGACTTCGATCACGCAGTCCTGCGTCAGATTTCAAGCAGCAGTTCACACTCTGCAAGGGCAAGCACAGAATGCGCTCCGCAGGCTGCGGGGCTCTCAGGGGTTCCCACCTCGCTGCTTCGTAGCCATGACTGCTGAAAACAATCAAATTGTGTTGCAGGCAAAAGTGAGGTGGAACTGTTTATTGATGCAGCCGCTTCAAGACGCCTCAGTCAGTTTGGGCTTGGGCGCTCAGAGCCAGGTTCAATCTTCTCAGCTGCCTCCCTTTTTTTTTTTCTCTCTCTCTGTGTCTCTCTCTCTCTCTCTCTCTCTCTCTCTCTCTCACAGCTCACCTGTCAAATTCACACGCTCCCAAATGAGGTCTTTTTTGCAGCCATCGCATCTAAGTCTCATGTTGCACACAGCCGAGAGGGGGTGCACACTCTGACAACTTCAACTTCAATCCTCAACTGAGACGCTTGTCAGACCAAGCCAAAATCGTTGTGCGAAGTGGTAAGAACAGCCGCTCCAGAGCATTCGCTCAGCACTTCACGCATGACTGCGAAATAGTATCGCTCAGCACTGAACACATCCCTGCCAAATGTTCAGCCGCCTCAGCGAGCAAGTAGCTCAGCTGAGGATTCCAGAAGAGTTTGATAAATTCAACGGAGCCGTCACTCAGCCATCTCCAGGACGACAACCCTCAGCGGCAACGGCTAAACCGTCATCGTATCAAGCCTTATGGCGCTGCCGACATGGCGGCGAGCCGTTCACCGTATAGGCCTAGAATAGGGCCACCAGCCAGCGGCAGAAGCATGGCGGCACCTAGCGTCAAAAAATGCAAGCCGGTGCCAACTGCCAGAACGGGTGGCTTGTTGTCATCAACTTTTGTTACGAGTGTCGTGCAGCTTATGTTGCTACAGCTGCTGCAGGCTGCATACACCTTTGCCACGCCACCTGCCGCTAAATTTGCAGGGTAATGTGATTCTGAGGCCAGCTCTCGCCCTGGCATGTCCAGTTTGGGCGGCGCGGCGCTGAACACGCTAGGCCGCTAGGCTGGAGAAATTGCTCAACCAGGTCTGCCACAAATGATTGCTGAGCCAATTCGGACTCTCCAAAGCTGCCCACTGTCAGTGCACACACATGTCACCTGATGCTCTTAGGAGCATCAAGCTTGGACTACCCTGCATGCGTGCGCAAAGCCTGCCCAACAGGACTACAAACGGCTGTGTGGGTCAAACGGCGCATTGAATTGAACTCATCGCTGCGCCTTCCAAACAAGTGCCTGTGGAGAGGCTCCGGTAGGACATTCGCAGCTTCGCAGCCCTCTCATCCTGGCTGCATCTTGCCATCGCATGGCTTGCGTGGCGGCAACCTGAGTGCCGCAAACAAAGGTCAAGGAAGCCTGCATGCCCAAGAAGCTGATTCGCAAGGCAAGGCCCCGTGCAGAGGAGGCGCTTGAAGAAGGCTTCCATCGTTTGGAATGAAATCAATGGCTAATGAATCATGAAAAAAAGCCGCGGTGTCCAACCCAAATAATTTTACAGCTATACGGTGCTACAGCAGTGTTATACCCTGCTGGACTTTGTCACAAAGGAGATGTAGTTTTGATGAAACATCTCCAGAAAATGCAAACCAAGTCTGCAGGCATGGTCTTTTGTCAACGGGGTGTGCGTGACTTTGTTGAGCAAATGGAAGCTGATCTCTTACAATGATTCAGGTGGATTCGCCGCACTCAAGCAAGAAGATTAGGCTGAGCTTGTTGCAAATTTGGACGCATATACATCTACCACTTGCAATGTTCGTGGGCCAACAGTATTTAAGGTTCTTGTGCCCTTCGCATTCAGAGATTGTTTCGTCATCCAGCCACCTGTCTCACACAATGCAACTGTGGTGGAAAAAAAGACAAGAGCTTCATGTAAATTTGCTTGGGCGCATTGACCAGCACGTTCATGTTGAGCATGTGGTTTACCAAACACATCCTTGCAACATGTGATGCTGTGTGCAACCAAGCCCTTGCACGCACGGCTTTTCTTGAAAAAGCTACATGTAGAAAAACCGGCTTCCCTAATAGATCCAGCGTGTCGCAAAACTGCGCTTGACATAGCAATGCGAGAGCCTTCGCCAAAACATGAAGATGGCAGTTTGCAATCCGAACTTTGCACTTTGACACGCGTTTATTGCAGTTTGCGCTTTGCCAACAAACTTAGTCTCGGCGGCAGCGACGAATTTACTCCCACGGCAGTTGGGGTAATTTAGCCGCGTGCGACTAAATTCTTCCCACAGCTCACGCCTGCGCGCCCGCCCGCCCGCGCCTGCTCGCGCCCCTGCGCCGGCGCCCCTGCCCGCTTGCGCCCGCCCGCACGCCCACGCCCACGCCCGCGGCGCGTGCACGCACGCACGCACGAATGTGCCTCTGTCTGTCTCTGTGTGTCTTTGCGTGTGTGCGCACTTTCGTTCGCTAGGTTCTTAGCCGGGGAACAAGCCAATCTTGCTTCCCGAAACCAGAAAGGGACAGCGGAAAACTGCGTCCGACCCTCCGGTGAAAACAGCTCCCAGGCTTTCATTCCATTTGCCAGTTGCAGGTCACGAGTCTTGTTGTTATTGGTCTGTTTTGTGGTTGCGAAGAGCTGTGAGAGAACGGGCAAGACCAAGCCTTGGTGGTCTTGCTTTGTTTCGTGTCTGTCTACAGCATTGTAGAAATTGGTTGAACAGGCGACTTCCGCCTCAAACAATCAGCAGTTGCTTTGCTTGTCAGCATGAGGGCCACAGACGGTTGCACCGTTGCTCTGCGGATGCTGGTGTTGGCTTGATGCTTCGACCCTGTTTCAACTGTGAGGACTGGAGGTTCCCTTCTTGATTAAGTGTCCTAGGACTGTCGAAAAAAGACCGTGTGTGAGAAAAGACATGTGCCACTCCCTTTGCCGTCCAATTGGTGGTTGAATATGCTTTTAAAGCAACCCCAGCCAAAAGTAAAAATTGAGAGCCCTTCCAGCTTCAACATGGGCTTTTGCCACTCGATATGGTGGCTCGCGATTGGCGTCGTGAAGGTGACGCTGAGCCGCTTCGACCCTGTGCGGGACGTGTGGATGTATATCGCGCCGCTGGTGAATGACCCACAGTATGTGGTCGATTGGCCTCCGGAGCAACTGGTGGAGGAAGTGTATGGGCCACATGATCTAATATTTGCGGAGTGCAACTTGGGTCCAATGGAGTTCCAATGTTTCCGGAGCGCAGCTCGGGTTCAACAGAATGTGACTTCCAATGTTCCAGAGCGCAACTTGGGCTTAGGGGCCGAAGTGTTACTTGCAATTTCCGGCAGTGTGTCCTGGATGCAACAGAGGGCTGCTTAACGAAATGCAGTGTCACTTCTAATACTTCCGGGGTACAACTTGCGCTCAATGGAGTCTACTGCCCATCTTTCCAGAGCGTTGGTTGGGTTCAACGTACTGTCATGTCTAACGCTTTCAAAGTATATCTTGGGTTCAGCGGAGTGTTGCTGGTAGAAGTTCCGAAGTCTAACTAACTTGGGTTGAGTGGAGCCTCATTTCTAACAGTTCCGGAGCGCGACTTGGGTTTAATGTAGTCCCACTTCCATTATCTCCTGACTGCAACTTGAAACTTTTTCAAGGACATCCGGATAAACCTGGAGCTCCTTCCTCTTACTTCTGGCCCCTCTGAGCAATGGGACTTTATCCAAGGGCCCGCATTAATCGCGGGGGGCTTTCAGGGAGGGGCTGGCCTTTAAGGGTTGCCTTTGTGAGATTGAAAACCTTGTCATGTTTTAAAAACTAATACAGAAGGATGCGTTTTATGAGCAGCGCATTTTTGGCAAAACTTGGAGGGTCCAATAGTGACTTAGCATTGGTGGGTTCAATCGACAACTGAGCAACTACTAAGCGAACAGGCAAGCCTTCTGGAAGTATTTTGGCTTGGCGGCTGTGGGGGGTATTTACCTTTAACCAGGGCGGTTTTTGAGGAGACTCGAAGAATATTGGGCGCTTTTTTTGGCAACCCTTGTTTAGTAGTGGGGGGAAACCTTTAATCGGGGTGTTTACAAAGGGCTTGCTCACGCTAGCTTGTTTGGCTGTGCAACCGCCATTGCCTTCAACAATCGGCTTTCTTCGAGAACCGCCGATGTCGTTGGCCTTTTTAGTGAAAATGTGATTAGCCATGTGTTTCAGGTGACTACCGGCATGTTGCGATAGCAACTATCCGGAGCCACTTTGGCTCAAGTTTTCATGGGTTCCGTCGCGCCTCGAATGGGTGTTGTCGGTCAAGGTTGCGGGTAACGCTTTTCTTTGTTTTGGTTGTTGTTCTCTGGTGTGTGGGAAACCCTGATCTTTGGGACCGGGGATTGGTTTGCTTTTGGGGAACTTTTCTTTTGTGGCTTGTTTACCCCAACTTACCCATTGCCTGGGCACAGGCTTGTGCCCGAATCACAGGTTATCAGCCGTAGGACTTTCCTACGCGCTTGAGACCATCAACTACAAGCTCTATGACGTCGACCCCACGATCACACAGGAGTGTCGTGGATGAGGAGGCCATCCTAGGTGGTCTCCGATCAGGTGAGGACTTGCCGGACTACAACTACGAGGACTTCAAAACAGGTTCAGCAGGTCAGGACCGCAGGGGTGATGATCCCGATAGGGACACACCCAGAAGCCGTGGCAGGTTCACTGACGATGGAGACGATCGCATTTTCCGTCAGGCCACCGATGATGAGCAAGGGCAAAGAGCTCGCCCCGATAGGGGCGGCTCTGAACCAGGTCTCAGGCATGGACATTTGGACTTCATCAGCATGGCGATGAACATGGCCCGCCCTCATTCAGACAACCCGGAGGCCATGCCCACCCGACCTCCAAGGTCTCTTGTTCCAGGTGAATCGCAGGCCTCGGATGAGCTCAGGGACAGGCCGCGAGGACCAGGAACCATGGTTCCGGCTCCGAGAGATATCTCGAGTCGATCCACTGGTTCTCAAAATCCAGGTCAGTTTGATGAGCACGTGGAGAGGACGTTTACAGGCATCGGATACGATGCTCTGCTGACATCAACCGCAGGCTGGGGCAGTAGTGTGAAACAGGAGTCTGATGCCGATAGGCCTGATCCTGCTGCGGCCAAGTTTGAGTTCAATGATGATGACGATTATGCCGCATTTGCGGATCGTCGTGATGAGGAAGAGAATTTGGCACGCCGAAGTGCAAGGAGCCGTGCTGCTGCTAGGCCCAGGAGCCTCCCTCGTGGAGCTGCAAGGGATCCTCGTGTTGACAGGGATAAGAGAGAGAGGGCCAGGGATAGCCGGGAGGTTCTTCAGGGTTTGGAGGCCATCCATGACCGAAGTGGACCGATAGGTCCTCCGGCGTTTGACCATACCCCGAATGTTCCCCCTTTTCCGCTGCATCAGAGAGATGAGAACGCAAACCGGGTTACTGGTTCGCCGAGAATCACTGAGCGGGCTGCCGAAGTAGTTGAAGAAGGTGCGAGAGACGGTACTGTAGGCTTGCCAATGCACTCGGAATCGAGGATCGTCCGTCGATCGCTAGCCCGTTAGGGCGAGATCCCAGCGACCTTGAACCGCTAAGGTCTAGCAATGAGCCGCCACCAGCCTGACTGGCATGCTCTTCAGGAAGAGGCGCAGAAAACACAGAACGCACGCTGCACCCTTGACGTCCGAACCAGCAGACAAAAACACTTATTACAGTACACAGATCCAGCCTGCTCGCTAGTCACCGCGAGCGTCCAAAACGGCAGCCAGCAGCGCGTGCTGCAAAGGAACACACAGGCCAGGAGTCGCCACTCCCTGCAAGCTAGCCACAGCGTCTTCCCACGTGACAGCGACCTGCGAGGCCAGCGCAGCCTCCACTGCAGGCCACTGCTGCAACGCGCTGACAACTCCTGTGGCGAGTGTCCGCGCCTCTTCAGCAGCAGAGCAGTGCCTGCGGGCAATGACCTCCACGGTGACATCCAAACAGTACGCCGCCGCAGCCCTGCGCAAGTTCGAGGACTCGACGATGTCCCGCGCAGCAGCAGCCACAGCTTCAGCAGTTTCTGCTCGGGCGTCACGCAGCTTGCGAAGCAATCGCCATACGTGGTACTTGATGTCCGCTTGAGCGCCTGGAGCAGCCAGCGGGCACAAAGCCATGACAATCCTATGAACCAATGTGTCCCTGGTGATATTCTCGAACGGGACGCCCAGCTCCATAGCCAATCCTTGTAAACACGGCTCAGCATTGCGCAGTGGAACTCCACGAAGTCGGGCCCGAAGACTCGGGGCCGCCCCGTCGCCTAGCGCCGCTGCCAACTGCCGCAAGCCATCTGCGTTAACGCGGTCGTCGGCGCTGGCATGCCCCGCAGTATCCTACGGAGAAGCGCGCGCGAACCCAAGCACTCCGTCTCTAAACAGCGCAGCGAATATCGCACTGTAAACTGGCACGCAGCAAAAGCCACCCAACCGAGCAACGCGGCGTCGCTCCCTCATCGCGCTTGCTCCTCGGAAACGTGCTGCGCCACCTTCTCTTGCAGCTCCGCTTTGGACATGTCAGCAAGCTGTCGCAGCTGCACGGCGGTCTGCTTGGCGAGCTCCTCGCGCAGCCAGCCAGCTCCCTGTGCGGCAAAGCCTTCTCGCATAGAGTCCAGCAGCTGCCGCGACTCGGTGGCCGCAGAATCCTGAGCCACAACTACACAAAAGATGCGTCACGTCGAGGTCACGCTGCCTCGCAAGTCGGTACAGCTTCCGTGGGTCCCGCACGTTGAAGTCGTCGGCCAGATCTCTCAGCGCCTCCATTTTACTTGTTCTTCGGCCCGTGCTGGGCCTGCCAGGCTTCCACCTCGTCCAGCCTTGCCTGGAAGCCCTTGCGCATCCCCCACAGCACGCTGGTGAGGTGCGAGTAGTCGAGGGTGACCATCTCCGTGCCGTCGCTCCACTGGGTGGTCCCCGTCAAATTCTTCCACTTCGTTCCTGCGAAGTCGTCCGAGGCGAAGCCCAGCCTCAGGTCCCCGTTCATGTCCGGGCGCTTGTACTGCTTGGCCTCCAGCTCTGCCACGTCGGCCTCGGCAATCTCCGTCTTCACCCGGCTGTCCGACAAGTCCGTGAAGCTCGTGTTGCAGACCACGTTGCCCGTGTTGCCTGCGATCACGAGGCAGCCGGGAGCGCCTCGTCGTTGATCATGATGAGCTCGCACTGGTGCGCCCCGCCGTCCCGCTCCAGGAAGACCCGCGCGCTCTGGTTGCCCAGCAGCCGCAGCTCCGGGCCGCTGTCGGACGCCGCGCTGTTGTTGGAAATCTGCAGCTTGCTCCAGCCCGCCCAGTTCTTCGTCAAGAAGAGATCGTCCGAGAAGTCGGAGGTGTTGGTCACGGTGAGCGTGTTGGACGCGAAGAGCTGCGGCGCGGAGACCGTGCCCGAGCTCGTCACGTCGCCGCAGACCACGCTGCCCGTCGACACTCCGCCGCTCGTGGCCGTGAAGGTGCAGTCCAGGCTCTCGCAGTCCAGCGGGCCCGCGGACGCCGCCCCGGTGATCGTCAGCGTGGCGCCCGTGAGCGCCCCGGCGGCTGCGAAGCTCGCCGCCGTCGCTGCGCCGGAGGCCGTCAATGTGCCCGTGGACACGTCGCCGACCGTGGTGAAGTTCCCGGCGTTGGCCGTGTTGTTGATGGTGAGAGTGCTGCCGGTGATTCCGGGGTGGCCGAGCTCAGCAGGCCCACGCTGGCCGCCCCGGTGATGCTCAGCGAGCTGCCCGACACGGCGCCGGTGGACGTCAGCGTGGCTCCGGACACGGCGCCGGTGGACGTCAGCGCTGCGCAGGAGACTGCGCCCGAGGCGTCCACGCCCGTCGTGAACACGTCAGTGCAGTTCACGTCGTTGCACAGCAGCTGGTCGCAGCCCACGTTGCCCTGCGCGGTGAGCCCGTCCAGCGTGGCCGACCCCGTGAGGGCCAGCGAGTCGGCCAGCAGGTCCGTCACGGAGACCGACTCTCCCTCGAAGGCAGTGGCCCTGATCTGCATGCTGCACAGGTCCAGCGTGCCCGCCGACTGCTGCACCAGCCCGGAGCTTCGCGACTCCGCCCGGCGGCGCCGAGAAGTCCAGGCGCGCCGTGCTCCAGGCTCCCTGCGCGGCCGTGCCGAGGAAGGTGCCGGTGACGCCCACGTAGTCGTTGTCGGCCGCGCTGACGTACATCACCAAGTTGGAGGCCGTGCCCAGC